CCTCCTGGGGCGGCGGGTGTCCTCGGGACCGGCGGTTGCGGGGTGAGGCTGTGGGGGTTGGTAGGCTTTGAGGCAGCGGCGTGGGAGAATGGAGGGTGCCGGGACCTTGTGAGGGCCGTCAGTCGGGGAAACGAGGTTTCGAAGAACGCCGTTTTCCCAGCTAGCGTCGTTTTCACCGGCATTCGTCCTTTAGTAGTACTGGGGGTGAAGGAGGGGAGTCGCGTTCCGCGGCGGAGTCGGCTCTCTGAGCCTGCCTGTGGAAACGCTGCTGTAAGCTCTGCCGTGCTTTCCAGCCCGACTCTCGGCGTGTCTGTGTAGTGCTGCGTGCCTCCGTGCTGGGGCAGGTGTTGGAAGTGGGAAGATGAGTTTTATGGGACTCCCAGGTCCAGTAGGCAGAGCCTTTTCCTTTGGAAACTTTCAGAGTACTATAAGAATACAGTTGAGGTGAAAAAGAAATGTAATGAAACAGAAAGGTATGTTCTTTTGTGCGGGGGAAGGCAAGAAGCAGAGCAGCTCTGAAAGTGCAGCACAAGCACTTGGTCTGAATGAAGAGAAAGCGCAGCCACGGGCAGTTAAGAAACAATGTGGAAACAGTTGATTTAGTTCAAGGCTAAGAGATTTTAAGGTAATGTTCTGATCATGTATTGTGTTTCCTAGCAAATTGGCTCAGCTCAGGTTGGGGGGGTCTTGGGCATTAAAACACAAGAAAACAAGTGATGCTTCCCAGAATTATGTAAACAAAATAATCACCTTCAGTAGTGCTATTACTTACTTGGATTTGTGGCCACTTACTTGCAATTCTGGTTATTACAGAAGTCATATTTAACTTTGTCAGAAGGGACATATCTTACTTCTACATCTTGGAGCAGAAATGATGACTGTGACACTTCAGTTTGCACTGTCAGGCTTTTAATTAAAGGGTGTAACTGATAAGGTCATTGCTGTGGAAGTCTGAATTTGATCCCTTCTCTTTAGAAAGGCAATAGTGGGAAATTCTAGTACAGGTGTTTGAACCTGTTTTCTTCTTTCTCATCAGTGCTGGCTTACCAAGCAGATGTCTTTTGTCTACCGTTTCTAATTTAAAAATTAAAATGGAATATTCTCACCTACACATACTGATAAGCGTTCCCCTTGTGTGCATCCCCACTCTGTTCTTGATCCATTGCAGAGCTACAGTAACTTACTAACAAAGTTTTTTTTTTTTTTTTTTTTTTTACCTGTTACTGTGGAGGTAACAATTAAATAGGTAGATGAAAGACTTTGGAAAGGTATACAAAACTTGCATTCATGTGAAACAGTTAACTTCCATTCTCATTTTCCATTCAAATGTAATTATCTTTTTGTGTCTTCTGTTACTGTTGTGTAATCAAAGTCCTGGGAGGGAGAAGCAGAGGAAGGAGAGGAGTGAATGGCAGGAGGATACCAGATTTTTCTTGCCAACTCCATTCTGCTCTACTACTTTCATAACTGGAATTAGAACAAATAAATCTTCAATGCTGAAAGTAGGGTAATACGTCTGTATACAGAACACCTTGAAATTTTGAAAATGGAATAGCAAATGAAATTAAGAAATTATGTGATGAGGTGATTTCCCTAAAGCTTTGTGGTGCACAGAAACAGATGCAATTGTCTTGATTATCTTTTTGTGTGTGACTTCAGTAAAACAGGTTTATTTGTGGACTTTCTGAAACTTTCACAGACATTAATACCAATTGAACCAGTATTGAGGCAAATCTCAATTTTTTTTCTACAGATGGAATTATCTCCTGCTTTCTAGAGAGATTAGTTTGGTCACATCTGTGAAAGGGGTATTTGTTTGCTTTGTGATACCAAAACTTAAAAAACATGTGTAACTTTTTTCCTTGATATATATGAGAATGGGAAGTGTTTCTACTGCATAAAATGAAGTTAATAATCTTTTGTAATAATTCATGGCAATTAAATAGGAGGACATACATGCTGTGGTTTTATGTTTCAGAATATAGACCTGTGGCCATAATTTCAAAGTTAAAAATAAGTTTCTGAACAACTTTGTCACTAAGGGCAGATTCTGAAAACAAAGGTTTTTTTAATACTCAGTATCTCAGTTTCTTAAGGAAAAAAGAAACATTGTCTCTTTCCTGCTACCATGGAAAATATAGGGGAAGTAATGGAGATAACTGCAGTGGAGCAAGGCAGGCACAATTTAAGGAACACCAACTATAGAAGCAGAGGAACCTGCACTTTATTGCTCTGTGTTTTATGGAGCAATTTACTTCTGCTGGAGATTTTTGCTGATGTCTTTGTGGATTCTAGAGGTTGTTTGTAAAATAATACATGAATTGAAGGTGATGCATGCAAACCACACGGATGCCAGGCTTTGTTTGCTTAGCAGTCACGCAGGGTACTACACTGTTCTAGCTGAAATTGCTTTTAAGGTACATGGCCCAGTTTTGCTCAGAGTGTTTGTTCATATAATGGTTTAAAATGCTGACTTACATGCTTTGGCAGGGATGGGGGCTATTATACTTGATGACTTCAGGGTTCTGTGCTATAAAACAAATGCAGGATTTTAGGAATTGTATCTAAATTTTTTGACTATGGAAATACAGACTTGTTAAAAATGAGTCCACTCTTACAGAAGGGTAGCAAAAGCAAGTGTGCAGGAATGATGGAGTCGCAGTGGGGACTCAAGAAGAGTCAAGCAAATTAAAACTTGGAAGTATTCTTTCCTTCTAGCAGATTAGTAACTTAATGGCTTAGGAGAACCTGTTGCTTATGATGCCATTATGTGTTACGGTTTTTTTAGCTACCCCGCCCCTTCACGCTTTTGAGAATTTTTCCCTCTGTTCGTGGGTGAAAATAGTTTCAAAGCATGTCCGTAGCTGTTGAGGCTATGGTGGAGATACAAAAAATTAGTAATACTTGAAGACTTCCTGTTTGCTTGAAGAAACTATTTTTAGGTTTTTTTTAGCAGTTTCTTAAATACAATCACTTTTTTCACAGTTGTTTCTTAGTAATGTATTCTGCAACTTAACTTGTAAAAATGTCTTTTTGTGTTGAAATGACAAAAACAATATGCAGCTTGTTAATTGGCAGATTTAAGGCTTCAGAAGTAGACAGTTTGAGGGTGCTGAATGTACTTTGTGTTCTATTTATTAGCTCTGTGTGCTATGCATTGTTAATTAATCCATTTCCGCTTGATAGCAAAATATGTTTTCTTTCATAGAGTGAAGATACGCAGCAACAAATTATCAGAGAAACTTTCCATTTAGTATCAAAACGTGATGAAAATGTCTGTAATTTCCTAGAAGGAGGATTGTAAGTATCAAGTTTGAAATAAATGCCCAATACTTACTGGCTAGCAAATATCATTACTGCTGATTGTAATATAACTGTTTTTACAGCTGTAATGTAAATGCCATGTCACTTGAGACATTTTAATACACAAAGAATATTATCATGTTGCACCAGGTATACATATTCTTTACAAACTTAAGCATACATACATGTATCAAAATGATTTAGGCAATAAAACTTATTCTTTCTAGTGCTGTAACTGACAGAGTGCCATATCTAATACTGTATTTGTTTCAGACACAAGTTGGGGAAGAAACAGGCAGATGATACCTAACCAGTTTCCCTATAATAAAGCTAAAGATTTCTAGTCTCATTTGAAGAGGTATTGACATTTGCATACCCACTGAGAAAATTAAAATATTTTGTAGCTGGTGTTTTGGCTTGAGCTCCTAAAATTTGAGTGGACAGCCTCTGATAGTAGGATTTCTCAGCCTTCTTGTCAGGGTTCAGGCTTGCTATATGAACTAGGAAGGAAAAAGTAAGTTGTAAATGCGCTAACTAATGCAATGTCAACCAAGATTTTTTATTAATATAGGTAGAGCAAGGTGGAAGGAAAGCCAGACGTGTCTTCTGTCTCTAGAAGACACACACAAAATATTCCTTCTTGAATCCTCTTGGTTGGTTTTTTAATGTGGTCTTGCTTTAGTTGAAGAGAAGAAATTCTGAAATGGAGAACTGTTTTATTTTGAGATATTAGTCATCAAGAGTAAGTAGTTACAAAGCCACCTTCTAGGAAAAGGAGTCATAATTGATGGAGTAAGATCATGATCTCCAGTTTAAACACAGATGTTGTCATAGCCTGTTAAATACCGTACTTGTGGAAATTTCTAATTACTGCAAGTTAGTATATTAATGCCTAAATTTTCTGTATGCAGAGACAGTTAAATGCTTAGCTGTACTGTGTCAGCTATGATGTCTTCTTTCTGATCAAGATGATTCCTGATTTTTTATTTCATTATTTTTTAAACTAAAATTGTTCTCTTCCAACTACTCAACTGGTGATTCTGTTGTTAGGTTCTTGGAGATGATTTCAAGCTGGACACATGCTGGCTTGAATTCTGTAAGTGAAAGAAGCCATTTGGAGCCTTTTAGAAAAATCACAGCTGTGTAACAGAAAGAAACTAAGGCAGAGGACACAATTCTGGCTTTCCTCCTACTGCTCAATTCCAGAGTTACCA